GCTTTGGCTCCATTATTATTATTTTGCGCAGTCAAAGCAGCCCCCGAGGCCGCCTCTCCTCTGCCAGCCGCTCTGTAACCGTGTCTTTTTGTTCTGTGTCTTTTGGCTGCCAGGGCCGGCGTGGCGCCGTGCCGCGTGGTTAGGAGTGCGGGTTAGCGCCGCGCGCCGCGTCGCTGCCCTCCCGAGCGCCTCCCGCGGGCGCCGCTGCCTCTAGGCTTAGGTTTGACCAGCTCGTTGCATTCTGTGGCCTTTGCCAGTGATTAATCGTAATGCCATGAGCATCTCCCGTGTCTGCTGCTCGCGGGGTGACTTTGGTGTGTGGTGGTGATTGCTGAGCGCTTGGTTGATGTTTTATAATCACGCTGTGTGTCCTGGATGAAGTTCTCTTCTGGCTTGCAGAGCCCGTGGTGAGAAATGGAGGCAACTGCAGGTAGGAGGGAAAGGCCTCTTAAAACGCAGGTATGACTGGCTCCAGAAATTGAGATTAGAGCGGTGTAATTTTTTTAAAAAAGACAGAACACACAAGAAAAACCTACTTTGAAAGATCTTCCAAAATATTGGAGAAAACCTGGCAGGACTTTTCTGTGGAGGCTGAATGTAGCCAGCAGATAACTTCATCACACTGTACTGGTTTCATGTTTTCTGTGTAGCTGCTAGTAATCAAAGCTGACCTTACCTTGGGTTGTATGTTTTGTTTTGATTGATAAATGAGTTGCCATCTGTTCTGCTAATTCAGAAGTCCAAACTGCATAATATCCTGATTAAAATTCCTAGCTAAATTATTAAAAACTCACAAACCAGAAGAGTTTAAAACCCTTTTAAACAGAAGCAGAATGTGGAGTTGCAGAGTGTGACTTCTCAGTGCAAGAAAATATGGTGCTTGACATGCATTTATTATATATGTTTTGGGTTGGGATTTATTTTTGGCAAGGGAGTACAAGAAGCTTAGTTAAGAGTGTTGCTTATTCAAAGTGGTATTGAAGAGAAGGTGATTTTTCCTTGCTGAAAGCAAGCGGTTGAGGATGCTGCAGATTTGCTGTCTCTTGGAGCACCCTGGGGAGCTGTGATGGAGGAGCTGTGTAGTTAAAAGCAAGAGGAATCTGCGGCGTTTCCTGGGGCCGCCGCGCGAGCTCCGCGCTCCCCCGTGGCCCTTCCTTGCAGCCAGACAGCCGCTTCCTACCACATTTGCCCTCTCAAAGTTGCATCGGAGCCTCTGGGGAGCCTTTGCACGACTGACAGTTTCGGAGGGCAGTACTGTAGCTGTGCATTATTTAAGCAAAATGGAAACAACATAAAAAAAAACACTGTGTGAAGAAGCGTGAGGAGCTTCTGGGTTTGGATTGGGGTCAGCTCTTCGGAAGAGGCTTGTCCTGCTGCAGGCTGGTGACAGTGTGTCAGACATTGCAGTCCCTACGTCTGGCCTTGCGCATAGCCTCATGCTCTGATTCAGCCAGGGCGGTCTGAATTTAGATCAGAACTAAACCACAGAAAGATGCAGCAAACTTGACACTTCATTTTATTCTTGTTAGTCAAACAGGGATGTTGAGCAGTGAGTATTTGGGGATGAAGGGCCATGAGGCCCCTCTCTGTGCCCTGAGCCTGGGATGACTCTGGGCTTTGGGGATACTCTTCTAATCCAGAGAAGTTGATGCTCACAGTGTCCTCTTGCTGTCCTGGGTGCTGATGTGAGGCTGCTGCAAGGCAGCCCCATTTATCCGAGGGCCTGGATTTCCAAGACAGCAGTTACTGAGATGGGCAAGGATTAGCAGTAGTGCTGTCGTAGTGAGACCTGCCTTAAGAAAGACCCCGGTGTGGATCTGAGTGGGGAAACGAAGGGCAGCTCTGTTGAAATGCACACTTGTTTGCAGGAAGCCTCTCTCCTTGGCTCCTACTTGCAGATGGGGTTAAACCATCCGGCACTGGCTGGAAAGCAAATGGAGACAGACCCAGAACAGCTGGATGGAGGGAACTAGCACCCGATAACACCCGCAGACCCACACAGATCCCAGCATGTTACAGGCAGTGGCTAAGCCTAGGACAGCCAAGCTCCAGGGTCAGGCGGAGGTAGGAAACCCAGTGAACTTTCCAGATCCTGATTAGGAGTCTCCATGCAGCAGCAGAGCACTTGATCCTCCTGTTCAGTTGTCCAGGGAATCGTCTCATGTTTCTAACTCTGGCGATCAGATGGACGAGTGGGCAAGATATCCTTTTCATGAGCAGCTGAGCTGTGCTTTAAAAAGCAGCTTAGGCACGCATGAGCCTGTGCCTTGTGAAAAGCCCGTAGGAGGCTTTTAAAAGTGGTCATGGTTGGAAATGTGCTGTCACACAAATCCACACACAAATCTGAACGATATTTGGATCTGCATAAACTCTTTACAAAGTTTTATCTTGTTTTTTTTTTGTTGTTGTTATTTATATATTTATTACCAAAATAGATTGGGGTGGGGATGGAATGAGACCCTCCTGAGGAGGTATTTTGGTTGCTGCTGTTGCGTTATGCAGTTTAGTGAGCAGCTGGCCAAAGGGATCTTTTCATAGCACACATATTTCTGGTGCACGTGGCTCTGGTTTTTCAGTGCTCACATGCTGGTAGGGGTGTGCAGACTGTCACCAGCCATTTCTTAAACAAGCCCCAAATCTGTCAAGCCTGGGCACAGTAGAGTTCTCTGCTGTCGAGAGCTGTGCATGCAGATACCGTTTGCACTTTTGTGTGTGCAGACTTAACATTCGTGTAGTTTTTGCCCTTGTTGGAGGCCTGACTTTTTGTAGCCTCTCTGAAGATATCTAGACTTCTTGTTTTGTTGCTTTTTTTCTTTTCTTTTCTTTCTCCTCCTCATTAGCAGTTTCTAGCAAATTAGCAGGCAATCCTGCCTTAATCATCTGCAGGACCTTTCAGTGCATGGATTTTAATTGACTGTGGCGTTAGGAAATTCCATGCGGAACCTCAGGGCAGGCACGGACGGGCTTTCTGAAAGCAGCACCTTAGGGCCTGTGTTGAAAGGGCCGAGGAAACGGGGGCCGCCTGGCCGGGGAAGGCAGTAAATCCCGGTTCCCAAGGCTCGTGGGCGCGCAGGGAAGCGGAGGGCCGATCCCAGGGAGGGATGTTCGATCCCTGCGCGCAGGGAGCTGCGGTCCCGCGGTGTCCCCGTGCTCTCTGCCACACCAGACACGTTCACGTCGCTGCAGAAGGGCAGCGGCCTTGCGAGCGGCCGCCGAGTGCCGCCTGCCTGGGGGCTGTTGACACAGGAGCCGCTGAGGAATATTACTGGCGGGGGGGAGAAAACCAGAATTAATATCTCGTGTTTTACAACAAACACGCTGTAGCATTGCCCTAAACATCCAGTGTTATGGAAACACCAGCTTAAAATGTGTAGCGAGTGATAACAGCTGGGAAGCCTATGGTTATTCCCTGAAGATGCTGGTGTCCCTCGGCGTGTGCTGTCGTGATGGGACGCGCACACCAGGCTCCTCGTGTGTCTGGGGACAGGGCTGGCCTCGGAGCAGCTGTAGGGCTCGTTCCATGACTTTGAGGGTTGCTTTTTCCTGAGGGGACCCAGGAGGACTTGCGCAGTGGGAGATGCGTGGCTGGGCCACGCTCGTGTGGGAAGCGTTGACTGATCAAGGATGAGGCAGAGGGAGGAGGCGGCGCTGAGCGGGACAGACAGGGTGTACTCAGGCCGAAAAGACACCGCAAGGAGATGCGGTGGGTTGTGTGTTGTGGCTGTCCGGGGGTTGTTTTGGGACCAGCAGCCCGGCAGCGGGAGATGAAGACGCGCAGGCACCACACTGGAGCGCCAAGGAGAGGACCCCGGCCTGGGAGCTGTCCTGAAGGGCCTGCAGCCCGTGCTCTGCCTTGCTTTTAACCCTGGGGCTCAGGGGTGTTTTCTCTCCCTGCCGGCAGCCCTCGCGGGAGGGCAGCAGTGCCGAGCGCCGCCGCCTCCACGGCCACCCCGCTGCGTTGGGGCCCTCGCTCACTCGCTGTCCTTGCCTCCGCAGGCTCACGCCGCACTATGTTTACCCTCAAGCTATCATCCAGCCCAGCGTGGTGATCCCTACCCCCGTGCAGTCTATCACGTCTCCCTACATCGACTACACCACGGCGAGCCAGGCCTACTCGCAGTACACCACCGCTGCCTACGACCAGTACCCGTACGCTGCCTCTCCCGCCGCGATACGGCTACACGGGCGCCGTGCAGCCCCCGCTCACGGCCAGCAACCCCGCGGCGCCCGCCACCGCCTTCGTGCAGCAGCAGCCGCAGCAGCTGCAGCCCGACCGCATGCAGTGAGCGCTGCCCGCGCGCTCAGGACAGTCCTCCGCCGGGGAAGGATGCGACTGTGACGGCAAAAGGAGGAAAAGTACAACAGGAGCAGGAGAGAAAAAAAAAACCCTCTTTTGACCTCTCTATTTAGGTGCGTATCAATACCTAAGCTATTTATAGTGTTAAGGGCAAGCCCAAACCCTTGCAGTCTGACTGTGCTCATGAGAAAGGACTTTGGTAAGTTTTTTTTTTCAATCTGGACAGATATTGTCACGAAGATGTTCCTAAAGTGACTGCAATGTTCTACAGGAAAACTACGGATTCTTGCATACTTTGCGGTCTGCTTCCATCCCCCGTGGTCTTCTTTCCAGCCCCTACCCCCTATCTGCCCTGTCCGCCCATCCCTCCTCATCAAACCTGCAATCCTCTTATTTACTGTTGAGGTACAGAGGTACTCGGAGAACATGGAAAAAAGCAATCTTATTTTTTGGTTGTACAAAAACTTTGTAATACTCAGAGATGCCTTACAGAAAAAAACAAAAGAAAAAGAAACTATTTTTTAAATATTTATTGCGATTTTATTCGCATGAGCTGTGAATTGCAGACAGAAGAATAGTAGTAAGTATCTGCCTTGTTTAATTCTCATTTTACTAAATTATTGTATGTAGGTAAAAGTTCCTAAGTAATTGCTGAATCACTTCAACATACAAAAGGGAATATTGGCTTGAGGAGAGCGGAATATTCCTTTAGTCAACGCACTGTACTATTTTCTTATTTTAATTGTTACTCTGTTAAGATTATCTCAAATTTAGGTATATTTTTAAAATGAAAAAAAAAAAAAAAACCAACCAAGAATACCGAACATTTTGTCTACTTCGGTAGATCTTTTGTGATAATGCTGCAACCTATGGAGACATTTACAGTATTTATGTAAAAGAGTTTTGAGGCTGTTGGCCAGCAAAGCTTAGGAGACTATCAGGAGTGTGAAGCAAAGGAAAAGGTATTATGTCATTGAACAAATGGGTAGATTAAACCTTTTTTATGCTTATATTGCAACAGCCAAATAAAGAAGGAGAACAGACAATGTAAGTTAAGTGCATTTCTACAAAGAACAGCAATAAAATATTTTAACTTGTAAAATCAGTCGCTAATGTACGACACCATGTTTGCTTGGCTAGAGTGTGTCAGGGCCGGCTCTCCAGCGGAGCCGCTCGGGCTGTGTGAGGGGTTTGGCTGGAGCAGGGCTCTGTCCGTGGAGCGGCGCGCGGAGGAGCCCGGGCAGCGCCTGCCTGGGGTGCCGGAGCCGCGTTGTCCCCGCGGGGCAGCGCTCACGCCCCGCACGGCTCCAGGCTGTGAGACAGCGGGTGCCAGCGGGATCTCGCCCAGAATTCTCAGGATTTTGCCAAAAAATCCCCACCCCAGGCACTTTGCTTTTGTTACTGTTTAAAATGAGTATTTTTTTCTCAATATTGAATCCATCCAGAAGTCCGTGGTATACCAAAGTGCTGTCTCGGTTAAGGGCTGGGTGTCTGAGGGCCCCTGTGCTCTGGCAGGGCAAACTTCAAATTGCAAACTTCAAATATGTGTTTTTAAAAGTAAATAAAAGGATTCTCTTTAAATGTGTTAGTTATCTAATTCACGTCTACAAAAGCATCAAAGGGTTTTTATTATTTTGTATCTTGCCTTGGGTTTTCCATCAATTACTGCAGAACTGGCGCCAAAAACTCCCTGCATCTTTGGCAGCAGCGTGTTTTACTGTTGAGATGTTGATGCTGCTGAAGCCGGGAGGGGAGGAGAGGGTGCTACAGCATTGAAAGTAGTGGCAATACAGCTCTGAGCCACTGACCTGGTAAAGCTACAGGCAAGCACTTACTGCAGCCTGACGTGGTGGGCATGGATAGTGTCATCATTAGGTCTCAGAGTAAACACTCCATCTAGATGAATGGAAACAGTTCGTTCCTGCCTTGCTAATATCGCATGCGAATGCAGATCGTGATGCTGTTCCATTAGTCCTGCCTGGGGTTTCACTTACAACCATACGGGTGACATTTATTTCCTTTTTAAGTAATTACTTGCTGTATACGGCTGTGGCTCTGCCAACGGAGTAGCAGGTGGGCGTTGCATCCAGCGCGGCGCTCGCAGGCAGCGCTCGGCTCGCCCGGCAGAGGCCCCAGGGCCGGAAGCAGGAGCAGTTGCTGGAGAGGGGGAAGGAGGGAGCGCGTTTTGGACGCTCACGGAGCCCCAGTGCCACCCAACCCTGTCTTGGTGCCATGCGATGGCACTTGTCCTCACCCAGAACCTCTTCCTCCCTGAGCCAAGAGGCCCCTGAAGGTTAATTTGCAGTTGAGAAACAGGCCCAGCATGTTTTAAAGTTAAAAAAGGAAGTGATTATTTCCATTTAGCTGCCTGTCGTTTCCTGAGCGCTGCCCAGAGCTCGTGGCCAGCGCGGGCGCAGGGGGGCTGGCCCGCCTGCCTATCCCAACAAACACCTCCCCGCGATCCCGGCATCCCGCTTGGTTTTGCTCCGGGCTGGTTTCTAGAAACCACGGCCCCAAAACCACAGCCCCGCCTGCCGGCATCCTGCCAGCCGCAAGGCCGGGGTGGAAGCTGTGCAGAATAACGAGGCCGTCCTCCGGCACCGCGCTATCCGGGCAGGCATGGGCTGGTGCTGGGCACAGAGGGCAGCAAGAACCCTGCAGCACTGGAGAGAGAAGTTCTGGAGAACGTGGTCAGGGGAAAAGCTCAGCAGCAGGTTTGTGTTTTGTTGGGAGGGCGGTTGTGGGAAGGCCCTGGCCGCCAAGAGGGATGGAGAGCCGCAGCATGGCGGCCTGGCGGAGGCGGGAGCACCACAGGGCTCCCGGAGCTCCGCTGTGGAGGCAGAGCGAGCCCTGCCAAGTGCCACCATGTGGGGGGGCCCTGCCAAGTGCCATCACACCCGGAGGAGGGTGACGCGTTTGATGCAGGGGCAGCTGCCAGTCCCCAGTGAGAGGGGAGCGAAGGCGGCGGTGCCCTACATGCTGTGTGATGGCCGACCTCCTCTTCTTCCTCCCCAGCTTCTCTGCCTCCTTGTTTGCATGGAAAATTCTAATGCTTCGTAAGAAAACATCACCCGGCTCAGGGCAGACGTTGAGCTGCGCCGGCTCAGCATGGCCAGGCTGGGCTGCCCTGCTGCCCGGCCAGGGCCGGCCGCCACCTTGAGGCGCCTTCCCCCGCGGGGACAGCAGCGTCGTTCCACGGCGACATCGGTGCCAGACGCCGGCCACCTGCTGCCCGGCGGAGTGGGGACAGGGCCCTCACGTGCCCGACCGTGTTTTTAGCTGGTGACGAGAAGTGG